ATGAAGTCTTAATGATATTTTAATGGGCTTGGTTAAAGAATTACTGTTGAAGTAACAAAAACAATTCAGCGGTTGTAGCATCCCCAAACATTTTGTTTTAATGGCGTAAATTACATGTTATTATCCGCAACACGCTTCGTCAGATTACAGAAATAGAGCTATCAGCAACATGCTTCGTCAAAAAGTACAATACTTACTTTCAGCTATAAGCGTCGTCATAAGTAACATATTATTATAGGTCCACATTAACAGCCATGCGCACGTAGGCATCGGCTAGTCAAACAAGCCACTCTGGATCGCACCCGGCCCGAAAGTACCCATTACGCTAGCAGCATTGCCACGCTGTATGGCAATGGATAATCTCTTAACCAGGTACGACCCAGACCGAGGATCGTGGCCTTGCCCTCTGAGGCGGTGGCCAATTTTTTGGCCTCCGAACTCCACACACCCGCCGTTTCCACTGCTACTGGAACAAACAGGTATGTAGATTTCAGAGCATCATACTTAGCATGCTTCGTTTTAGCCGAATTGTGGCGTAAAATGTGTCTAAGAGATTGACAGACACTTTGTTTAATGGCGTAAATTGTGTCTAAGAGATAGTCAGACACTTTGTTTAATGGCGTAAATTGTGTCTAAGAGATTGACAGACACTTTGTTTCATGGCGTATATTGTGTCTAAGTGATTGACAGACACTTTGTATAATGGCGTAAATTGTGTCTAAGAGATTGACAGACACTTTGTTTAATGGCGTAAATTGTGCCTAAGAGATTGACAGACACTTTGCTTAATAGCGTAAATTGTGTCTAAGAGATTGACAGACACTTTGTTTTAATGGCGTAAATTGTGTCTAAGAGATTGACAGACACTTTGCTTAATGGCGTAAATTGTGTCTAAGAGATTGACAGGAGAATGGGCCGCAATTCCTGCGGACTATTTTATCAGTGTACTACAGTGTGCTATTAGTCGGCAATAGTTACTGGTATTTTAGAACTTATATCTCAAGGTTAGTGGCGTATTTACGTTGTAGATGTCTATGGGCTCCAGTAACCACTTAACACCAGGTGGGCTGTGAGCTCGTCCATCCATCTAAGAAATAAAAAAAAATAAAAAAATTCAAATCTTTGGTACAAGTTATATTACTACAGCCAAGGAATCGGTTAGTAATAATGTTGGTCTCCGTATCTGGTAATCAATAAGTAATTTATCTAAAGATAGAAAGAAAGCGCCCTCGGCCTTGTTGATTACAATATCATCACATCACAACCACATCACATCACGCCCTATCATCAGTAATCATGCAAAATGTTTACGTTTACGGGCTTAATTTATATCACACTAAGATCGTATCATACTATTAGTAGTAGTGGCTCCTGAGTACGTCCTCGGTATGTAAATATTCAGAAAACTTGGTCCAATATACCAGTACACAGAGCGTCTTACTCTTCACGAGATTCTACGACATTTTTTCCATCAACCGTTTATAACTCGTCATCTAGGTAAGAAGTACCAAGTGGCTGTGGCTTAATGGATAAGACCGGTGTGTGTTATAATTACAAGCCAAGTTCGTCAGCGCTTGAACAGTAATTATACAGATCGGTGACGTCTTTTTAATAGTCCAAGGAAAAATTAGAATGTTCTAGATGAATAAAAAATTAATTAAGCCGTTTTGAGACTACGCTATACTATAGTGCCATATAGTATAACAGCGTATACTTAGCCAATAATATATAGTACAGTACAGTGTGAACGTGTCCATAACAATGTATGGTGCACGATATTGTTGTGCTATGAGATAGCTCATATAGTATACTCACTATAGTATAGCGTAGTCTGAAAGCGGCTTAATTCATTTTTTATTCATCTAGAACATTCTAATTTTTAATAATAACTAATAATAACGCGAATTATAAGTATATAGTACTGTATACTAATAGTATATGCTATTATACATATTATAGCGTAGTCTTATTATTAGTCTAAAAGCAGCTTAAAGCCGTTACTCACAATTTTATTTATTCCCTTACAAGTTGTAATTGAAAGATTACCTGAGACTCGAGCTTTCCTTGTAATCCATTTCATTAGGAACAAAGAAGATTAGTTCGCTGTAAGTAATTAGGAGAACATCTCTGAAGTGGGAGGATTTTTTAAATTTCAATGTAAATAATGCACTTTTATTAAAGCTTATTTACCTGTAGTATCTGTAGAGCATTTATGATGATAAATATCGGAAACAAACAAAGGTTTCTGCTTTCAAACTATGATTCCCTGTAAGTAAGGAATCATAAACCATATTAAGATAGATACTAGTTTCGTCCTGAAGCTAAATTAAATATTGAACTAAATATTGAATATTGTATTGTTTATTCTTTTGATTATATGGTCGGAATATTAGGCTAAAATAACATAATATTTGAAGTATTTCATTACACGTTATATAAGTATACAGTCAAACCTGGATAAGCGAAAGTTCAAGGGAGCACAATCTCATTCTCGCTTATAGCGGTTTCTCACTAACCCGAGTTTCTCGCTAATGCTCCCTCTGAATTTCGATTCGCGATTTTCCGCATTCAAATGCATTCACTATTTTAAGTTTATGACTTTAATGATAGTACTTTAATTTTCCGTTTTTACATGATGCAGAACAGAACTTTCCTTCGCGAGTAAGTCCGACAAACAGGACGGTACACAGGCACACGTGTCCATTTGAAAATAATGCGATAAAAGAATACGATAAAATAACAACGTTATTTAGTTCCACGAAATAGAATAGGTTCAATATTCACGAGAAAACAATACAAAAACAATGATAAGAAGTTCCACGAAAGTTAAAAATGAGTCATAAAATAGCAGATGTTAAATTTGTAATTTGTTTTGTCATTTGTTCCTCCTAAATAATATAAATAAATAAATAAAGCTCGGCTGTCGCTTATAGAGGTATAGATATGTAGCAGTCTCACTTACGGAGGTCCATGAGGAAAAAACGACTCTCTCTTACAGAGGTTTCTGTTTCTCGCTAATAGAGGTTTTGGGAGCTTAAAATGACGGGTCCTTGCTATTACTCTCACTTATAGAGTTTTCTTACTTATCCAGTTCTCACTTACCCAGGTTTGACTGTAATAGGATTGATACCACGAGGGTTGTTAGTTCCTTCAATCGTCTAAGGAATAAAACGATCAAATATTGAATGTTTATTTTTTGACATACATTCTGCAGGTGGCAACTAGACCATATGTTTCCGTATGCATTTTTTCGAATGTTTTCTTATCACATATCACTACATAGTATAAAACAAAGGCGCTTTCTCTGTCCCTATATCTGTCTGTCCCTATGTATGTTTAAATCTTTAAAACTACGCAACGGATTTTGATGCGGATTTTTTAATAGATAGTGATTAAAGAGGAAGGTTTATATGTATAATAAAATACATTAAATAGTGGAGAAATCAATAATAAATTACAGTTTCCGAATTGAAGTGAGGGCGGGTCGCTAGTAATTTATAACATTAACTTTATAACATTTGTCTTTCTTCATTCTTACCTTTACCTTAGTTGGACTACCTGTGTTCATTAATCATGTTAACATTTTTTGGAAACATAATGTGTTTCTTTAATTGGCTCATGTTTGTGAAAACATCCTCTGTACCCTGTGTCTAGTTAAATGCTGTTGAAACATTGTTGATTAAATAAATAAATAAATAAATTCGACACGTGCCACCAACAACGGGTACTGGTACAAAGATAGTATATCGGAGCCCGCCATCGGAGCAGAGGTCATCCATATTATCTGGAACCGCTGCGTTCATCGACAGTGCGTTTCCAGAGGCCTTTTTTGCCACGCACGGTCACTCCACGGTGTTTCCCGAGCGCTATGACATGTCCTTCTTCCAACAAGGCTTGTGGAGACTATTAAGCGGTAGGCAGCGGCTTGGCTTTGCCCCTGGCATTGCTGAAGTCCACGGGCAACGGTAACCACTCACCATCCGGTTGGTCCACAAGGACAATAAAAAATAAAGAAATTATCCAAACGAAAAAATATATATACACATATTTGAATAGCTGATTTTCGGTCACGTAAGTCAATGTCAAGTCAATAACAAAAGGTTATTTTTTATTTAACTGAAAAACAAACATCATCACAATTTATATAGTTATTTTTTATTTTAAAGGTACGCTCGACAGATATGTGACATCATCTTAATATAACAACATAAAGTTAAAAACAGCGGCCTCTACTTATTTTTTTATTTTTTATTATTAGACAAAAGATTTTATCTTAACCTTATAAACAAATTACGAATTTACATAGGCCATAGAATTTCTCTTTCCAGCACATTTTGGACGGAAATTAACTGTTTATTAAATCGGCAGCGTCAAGAAAAAATATTTATTCAAAAAAATATTCAATAATTTTTAAAGTGTACATTCTATAGTTACTTAACATTGTAGCAGTAGTTATCATATAGAACAGAAGATATGTGACAAATGCCTAAATTGCGCTAACGATATTAAAAGATATGCTTGCATAAATACCAGTTCGGAATACTAATATTTGGATTGTCGATCTATCGAGTAATTAAATACTCGCTCGGTGGATGATTTTCCCTTTGCCGAACCTTCAAAACTCACGTCCGGTCTTTGTTTAGAGATTGTAATCAATCGGAAGGTTGCGTGTTCAGATCACGTCAGTTTTTTTTATTGCTTAGATGAGTGGGCGAGCTCACAGGACACCTGGTGTTAAGTGGTTACTGGAGCCCATAAGACATAGAGATATGAGTTTTAAGGTCTCAGTATAGTTACAACGACTGCCCTACCCTTCAAACCGTAACGCCTTACTGCTTCACGGCAGAAATAGGCGGGGCGGTGGTACCTACCCGTGCGGACTCCAAGAGGTCCTACCACCAGCATTTACGCAAATTATAATTTTACGGGTTTGATTTTTATTACACGATGTTATTCCTTCACCGTGGAAGTCAATCGCGAACATTTGCTAAGTACGTATTTCGTTAGAAAAATTGGTACCCGCCTGCGGAATTCGAACACCGTTGCATCGCTAGATACGAATGCACCGGACGTCTTATCCTCTAGGCCACGACGACTTAGCACGACGTTACCAATAATTCTAACATAGCCTACGTTTACTACCTAGTTCACGGTTCGATCATATTTGGTTTTTAAGTATTCTACGTTCGCGTTCGACAATTATTAATTATTTTAATCATCTTTATAATATATTGATAGCCCGTAATGTTAGAATTTGGTTTGGATTACATACTTATGCTCTGGCTGATAAAGCCTTGTAGGTCCTGCATTGAAAAATCAGACTATACTGTGTCGTACCATTACGAAAATTAGTCCTGAACTAGTTCAAAATACAAAATAAATTTTTACAAACGCAATGATTATTTGCACCTTTTTGCTTAATCACGTCCAAATGTTTAATTTCCTGGTTAAATTGCAGTAGAATAACTTCTATGTGTAGCTTAAGAGTATACCGTTTCTATTTAAAAACACTAAACTACTAAAAAAATACCTGCAATTTTAATGTGAGAAGTGTGTGAATAAACCATAACACTACACTATTGAAGCTCACTGAATTGAAAACAAAATGATAGCTTGGTTCGGTTTATGTTTTGTCAGTTTTTACCTATAAGTGTATTCCCTATTAAAAATCGTGCATTGAAAATTATGCATTCAAAGTAAGCTCATTTGAGTTACCCCCTTTTATTGTGCGGTTGGCTTTTCAACGCAATTGGTTAGGCCAATTTTTATCACTGATCTGATTTTCCTCAATTTATTCAATTAATATATGTATATAGCGTTCTTACATTAAAACATCGTGACGTAAACATAAATCATATACTTACAATTAGAATATTCGTAAGAAGAAATCTTTCGAACGATCAAAACATACCGAATATAAAATACATAGGTACCTATATGTATTATGGTACTGAACTGTTTTGCTTTTGACTATGTATGATGTATAAGTACCATTTTCAATATTTTTTATTAGTAGTTTATTTTGTTAGTGCTCATATTTAAAAAAGAAAAAAGTTATTTTTAACTATCAACATCAAAGCAAAACAAAAAAATGTAATAAACTTAGCGAAACTAAGTCCTGGAGTGTCAATGATTACGATCGAATCTCGTTCACTGGGTATATTCTAGTTTAATCTAATTGTCATTTCGTCGTTTTCAAAAGATTTCTTAATCATTTCTTTAAAATTATATCATTCATTTACATTAATAAAATTCACATCAACTATTACGTCCCCTCACATCACAGCATCAGTCTCAATGACTCTTTGAATTAGGAACTTATTCATTTCTTAATAATACTATCGTAATCAAGTTTGTCTCCGAAGGCAGCTTTTGCAGTACGTCTGCTGAGGAAGACTTTTCCGTTCTTCGTGAAATCACCACACGGGACAGTAACATTGTGCGGTACATCTTCTAAACTAGCAAATTTACAGGCATTCCCACAAGCACCATTTACGGAATAACCATTATTGCAACCGTCAGCTTTCGTTCCATCAAGGTTCTGTTTTTCTTTTAGCTCCTTCTCATTTCCTTTGTAACTCTTCGAATAGAAATTGAGAAACAGAAACAAGAATATTGTTATATTAGTGCATATGAAGTACGTAAATCCTGCGGCGTATTGGCATCGCGGTGAGAAATGTGTGAAAGCGCAATATGCCAACATCAACACGAATTGTATCTGTAAAAACATAAATGGATCGATTAAAGCTTTTTTTATGTGTAATAGATATTTTTATCTTCATATTTTAATGTAAAAGGGCTGAAAAAATAAATTTATGCGTTCTTGATTGGGTTGGTGATGATATCTATGAACTATTGGCGATGAGCCGTTTTTACCAAATATCGATTTTGTGATGAGGCGATTGGTTCTCAATATTCTTCCCCCTAAATATGCAATACTCAATTCATTTACTTCCTATTTAATCGAGTACAAGATTAATGGATTTGAGCCTGTACAAACATTACTTTCGTTTGAATATACCAAATTTCACAAAGCCATCGTCAAACAGTAAATTCAATCCCACCGGTAAGTATTTTTTGAAGTTTTAATTATGTTTTTTTTTATTAATTTTTTTTATTGCTTAGGTGGATGGACGAGCTCATAGCCCTCCCGGTGCTAAGTGGTTACTAGAGCCCATAGACATTTACGACCTAAATGCGCCACCCACCTTGAGATATCAGTTCTAAGGTCTCAAGTATAGTCATTTTCAAACAAGCAAACGTGCGATACATTACTAGTAAGTAATCGTGTAATAAAAATCAAACCCACAAAATTATAATTTGCGTAATTACTGGTGGTATGACTTCTTGTGAGTCCGCACGGCTAGGTACCACCGCCCCGCCTATTTCTGCCGTGAAGCAGTAATGCGTTTCGGTTTGAAGGGTGGGGCAGCCGTTGTGACTATACTGAGACCTTAGAACTTATATCTCAAGATGTGTGGCGCATTTACGTTGTAGATGTCTATGGGCTCCAGTGACCACTTAACATCAGGTGTGCTGTGAGCTCGTCCACACACATAAGCAATAAAAAATGAAATAAAAGTATTTAACTATGCGTTACGAATATTGGAAACAACACAACCACATACGAGATCAAGTAGACGGTGATTCCAAATGCAAAATATAACACAAGTTCTCTCATAGGCCCTTAAACTATAATTCTTTTATAGTTAACGCTTTAATTTTTATTCATTTATTGCACAGATGAGTCAGCTAATTCACTAGTTGGTACTGAGTAGCTACCGGAGCCCATCGATAGCATCATGTGTATATCGCCACCCATTTTTAAGACTTGAGGTCTAAGGTCTTAATTGTATAGTAGAGCTGTTTTAAATATCAAACGTGGACGTCTTAATGTTTCAAGGCCGAAATAGGCAGACTGGCGGCGTCTATATTAGCGGGATGATAAGACGCCATACAAATACAATTTTAAAGCTACAAGAACCAAAGTACAAGATCACGGCTATGTGAATCAACTAACAAGTTGCATCTTGGTCACATATTTCTTCCACCATAGATACTTCTGGAAACGTGGTCCGAGACCGGACAGCAGGTAGTAAGTGTACATGATGACGTGCACTACAGAGTTCAGCAGGGCCAGTACTGCACCCTCGCCGCCAGCTGCAAACTTTAAATAGCTCCAGGAATAAAGGGCCATGATCACGTGATGATAGACGTGTAAAAACGTGATCTGAAAAATAAAACGAATCCATTAATTTTTGACTGATTTCTAAAAGCACTGGATCCTTGGGCTACTGAATCCAAAAGCTAGTTTAGTTTTAAGATCGCTTAAACAATGGAGTTTATTAAATTTAATATGCGAATTTATATTATTTATCTGTTTTTCACTCGTTCTTAGCTGATATAAAAAACCTGCACCTATTCAATAAAATAGATTTTTCCATAAAAAATCCATTCCATTTGGATGCATCATGTCGAACTAGGTTAGAACCACCCCATCTTTTATCGTGAGTATTGTAAAGGGTGACTAAAGCAATCCTTTGAGAATGAGTAGAAGCGTATTTTGAGTATTATATTACCTTATTTCGCTTAACTGGTGGTAATACTAAAGGTACTGTAAGACCGCACGGGGTCGTTGCGACCCATTTACCTATATCGGTCGCAGAGAAATGTAATGCTTCAATCCAAATAGTAGGAGACGTTTACCTCAAATTCCATAGTAAATTTCAAAGGAATTTCAATATAGTTAATATATATCGTAGTTTTTGATGAAAGATCATTTCGATGCCTCCAATGAACACTACTTTAACTCCAAATTCGTAGGTTTACAGGAGAGTTTAAACGAAAAAAGTTGATAAATATATCTGCAATAATAAAGATTTTATGGTTTTTTCTTGTGTAACTAGCTGATTTACTCTTGCTTCAAACCTCATTAATAATGAATTTGTAATACTTTTAAAATAGTGAAGCGATTTGCGTGAAAAACGACAATTTCAAAATTTTGAGTTAGAGTAGTGTTCATTGGAGGCATCGATTTAAAGACGTACCTGCTTATTTTTCTTTCGTAGCACAAAAAATACAGTGTCTAGAAGTTCAGTGAACTTTGCAAAGAAGTACCACCAGCCCAAGTCCAGTAACTGAAAAGAAATGCGCCATTGAATTACTTCTACCATGAATGAAGTTAAAATCTTCAAGTAAATCGTGGTTTAGAATCGGGATTGAGGGATGGTGACACATTTTCCACCCCATGTCACAAGGTGGGTGGTTACATAATATGATCTCTACAACTTAACATCAACTCATTCACCAAGTTCTTTATTATTGGCAGTTAAAGACTACATATTTTATGTATCACATCCGTATGTTTTAAGATATAATACCGGTGATTCTTAATACGATAACTCTAAAAACCGCGACAGATTCTTTTGACAAGCCCTGGGCGTAAACCTCAGCCGATGATGGTATAAGCCACGATAAATTCAAATTATAAAGTATGAACATCTTAATTCAATATTACGTGCATTATGCTTTGCTTAGAAAACTTATTCCATTTTATATCATTGCTATATAGCTTCGGTAAAATCATCGGGAAAGGGTATGTAAATCGTATCTATAGATTCGGAAATTACAATTTGCACGCCTACCATTGAATTTTGTGTATTCGATGGATATCTGCAGCCTGCATACACAATTCCATCTCTAAACAGATTCAGATTGAAGACCTGGAACGACACAGAATGATTGTTTTAAAACTCGTATTTAATTAGAAATTGTTAATTGGTTTTGAAGGCAGGCGAGCATACGGTTAGCCTGATGGCTAATGATCGCCAAAGCCTTCAATAGCTGCCTCTGAGCAAACCTTATCGCTGTCTACCACCAAGGACTCAAACTTCGTTTGAAGGACTTGTCGTAGACCCGGGTGGTACACGGCAAAGGTAGAAATGAACACTGCTTCGATGGGCAATGGTGTAATAGAAAATTATAAACTTTATTAAAGTAAATAATTGAAGCCCCGGTCATTGAAAATAATACATTCTAGTTTACTGCTGCATTACTGGTGGTAGGATCTCTTGTGAGTCCGCACGGGTAGGTACCACCAACCTGCCTATTTCTGCCGTGAAGCAGTAATGCGTTTCGGTTTGAAGGATGAGGCAGCCGTTGTAACTATACTGAGACCTTAGAACTTATATCTCGAGGTGGGTGGCGCATTTACGTTGTAGATGTCTATGGGCTCCAGTAACATAAAAAAAACAAAGATGCTAGGACCCGTAACCGCCCCCTGGTGAAGGTCAAGGGGCGACCTGAGGGGGTAGAGGCCGCGCGGCGCGCTACCAGCCCTCTAGCGCGCTGCCGTGGAGTAAATAAAGCGACCGGTTGACGGTGTATCGCGTCCCGACCCGGCGGGTTGGTTCTGGTCCAGCGGGGTATTCCGGGACACCAGCGGCACCGTCTGGGCGGCCCGACGGGCTGCCGTACCGAGACGGCCGACGTTTCAGAGCCTTCGCTTCGCCTCGAAGGCTCCGTCGGCTGGGCGTCTTTGGAATGAGCCGCGCCATCTGGTTGTAGTGTTGACCGCGGTAACCCCCCTACCTCATCCGGGTTCTGACCTCGGAGGGGATCGGACGTCCGGTGTAAGAGTGCAGGGGAGTCATTTAGTGTGTGGGCCCTAAAACCTTTGGGGCCGCGGTCTGCTCACAACACCATGGAGACCGTTGAGTCTCACATACCCCGCGCACCCCTTTTGCGCGGGGACCTCGTAGGAGGTTCGGCACTCTACCCGAAAAAAATAAAAGGACCCGTAACCGAATAAACAGGGACAACTAAACAAACTTCATTCTAGCGACATAGATCAGACGTGAACTTGGGCTAGCTTATGTCAATCCCGTACTTTTGCGTACATTCCTATATGCGGTAATGTCGGAAGAATGTCAATTCACCAAAATCAATAGAAGAGAATAGGAGAATCTGAAAAGGTAGACAGACCTTAAAACATATCATGGCTGCCAGAAGAACTTGAGAAGCATTGTAATAGGCCATGAACTTGTTCATTTGGAGCGGTTGTCGATTTTTCATGATCCTCGGTCCGATCCTGATCAGGATGAGGTAGACTGCTACTACTGACAGTATCGGCATCGGGCTCGACATCATGAACCAAGAATCTACCATGGCACCTGGAATTGTTATTTGTAAATTTATGAGTGATACTAATATTTACTAAGATATTTTCAAGTGTACCTCCTTTTGTTAGCTTATAATTTTTGGTATTTCGTATGTTTAAAGTGTCTTTCCACAGATTACTTTACGCAGCATCTGGTTCTTGAGCAAACCTGGTGCTTCCCATTATGAGTTCTAAGCTTGGTCTGAATAGGCTACGTCTTCGACTGGTGCCTGATTTGTAGTAAAATTCGTTATATTAGAAGCCGGAGGTCTAATAATACCAGATTATTTGTTAGAACTGGCCTTCTTACTATATGTAACCACCACAAGTTTATTAAGAAGAATAGTTGTTGCCTAGCAACAATTAGTCGTATAGTTTTATGTAAAAAATAAAAAGTCATTATGTACATCCGAAGATTATGTTTCATTATTTACCATAATTACCACATTATTTCAATCTCAAATTAGACTATAATGTTTTGAATTGGAAACCTTTTTATGTGATAAATATATTTGTAGCTAATACGACCTCGAATTATTAATCGATTAGGGAATTATTATCGATATAGAGTTTGAGATTTGCGTAATAAATACCATTGAGTCACAATTGAATCTAATGGAAAATAAAACTGAATATTGTTTACTTACTTTTTCCAACTTTCAAGGAATCCAGGTAACTGTCGACTTTTTCTAAGTAGCTCATTTTCAATAACACCTGAAAAATAATGTTTAAGGATGATTAAATTTGCTGAAAGATAACGTCAGTGATGACATTTAAATATTTGACATTGAAATAAAAATCAACGAGTTATGGTTTTAAAATTAAGCAGGTTCATTACTGATTAGATATCGTTCAAATAGTTTAATGGAGGTTTTGCTGCTGTAGGAACCGTTTAGGGTAGAGGTACCGACACCCCCCTGTCTCGTATCCAAGGATGTGGTGAGGGGGTGATTCTGATGCAATCTGTACTAAGAGCTTCCAAAAAACACACATTGCTTATCAGCAGAAACCAGTTTGGTAGCTTTTGAAGAGAAAACTTCTTTAGCGCCGTTGTTATATTTTGATGCCCAATCAAACGTAATCATACATAAAGAATATAATGTTGTTGTTTTTTTTGACCATCATCTTGTTTTTGATCACAAAGCAAACGCTTGACTGAATTTGGACCTAAGGCAAAGATGCTGCTTCTTCTTAAAGAGATACAGCGAGGAGGTAGTAGTAGATAGATCTTTGTGATCGAAGCAGTACCCGAAATCGTTTACCTCAAAGACCATCTGTCAGGTCTGTATATGTTGAAAAACTAAACTACTACTACTACTACTGCTGCTACTGAGCTGGCGCTATGACCCCGAAGTGGATCTTGGCCTCCGACAATAAGCTTTTCCATTCACCCCGGCGCTGCGCAACACCTTTCCAGTCCGACACTTGGAGCTCACGTAAATTTCCTTCCACAGCGTCAGACCAGCGGTACTTGGGCCTCCCTACGGGGCGGCGTCCCTCCGGTACACCCGCGTACACCCGTTTCACAGCCCGATCCTGCTCCATACGCACTACATGACCAAGCCATTCGAGCCTCCGTGCCTTCATCTCCCCCAGAATATTTGGCTCACCAAAAAGCCTCTCCACATCCTTGTTTTTCCGGACGTGTCAACCTGACGTGAAAACCTAAAGCTACTGATTAAATCGTTACACTAAATATAACCGCTGTTTAGATTAAATTGCTAATGAAGAATTCTAAATATACCAGTAACAAATTTGAGTAATTTGTTTTAATGTTAGGCTAGTTCGGTTCCTATTAATATAACAGGGTGATTTAATGGCGTGACGCATTTCGATTTTCTGATTACGTGACGTGCTGTCAAAAGCGTAGGTGGAGCTACGGATTTGTCCGTGTGTGCGTCGAAAGATATAGTATTAAGTAACGGAATGATAATAATTGTAAATAAAAATTTATAATTGTTGTTTCTTTTTTGTTCGCCTTATTTTCAAAAAGAGTTTTATTTTATTTGTCCGAATCAAAGATTTTCTGTTTCTTTTCTTGAGAAAGATTACNTTACGTGACGTGCTGTCAAAAGCGTAGGTGGAGCTACGGATTTGTCCGTGTGTGCGTCGAAAGATATAGTATTAAGTAACGGAATGATAATAATTGTAAATAAAAATTTATAATTGTTGTTTCTTTTTTGTTCGCCTTATTTTCAAAAAGAGTTTTATTTTATTTGTCCGAATCAAAGATTTTCTGTTTCTTTTCTTGAGAAAGATTACGAGCTATTTGTTACTGAGTAGCTAGCGTGGCTAATGAATAGCAATGCAACAGAGAGGAAACATTTCTCATAAATCATCTCAAGGATTCTTTGTTTATTTCAATTGTGTTTGTCGCTTTGTTTGTCTTTGTTTGATCATCGTCCATTTATTCCAACTTTTTTTTAGTAAGTTTCTGATTCAGACTAAATTCTTGTAAGAATTTCACGCGTAATCAAGTTTTTTGAAAATAAAATCAGTTTTCTTAACCGAATTCGATTAATGTAAGTTAAACTCTGTTTTCGAGGTCGTTCATGTTGTTTGTTCTAAATATAGCTAAGGTGGAACCAGACTCTTCGTAAATCACTAAAACACGTATCGACCCAAATCATTACGAATGGTGACGTACGCGAAAGCTATTACCACCGTCTAGCGCGGCAAACAGGGTTGGGATGGCATCGTGACGACACAAGATAGCAGTTAGGGCTTGAATGGATAATCTATACGGCAACAGTGAGCCGGGAACCGTATATAAGAATCTGATACCTTTTATTTCATTTATTAGTTTGTATGTATTATGTTCAATTATTAGTTGTAGTAATTATTATCTAGTATTAAGTCGCGGATACGATACAACGTGTATATCATTAACTATCTTGGGATATGAGTTTGTACTCTCAACTGCTTCGCTGCAGAAATAGGTAGGAAGGTGGTACTTACTCTAAAGGCTTACAGAGGATCCTGCTACATGCACAGAGATTTTAAGGTATTAGCAAATAAAAAAAATGCTGCTTGTTTTAAACAAAAGCAATATCGTAATCTAATTTAAAAAAAATATATTTAAAGTGGCCGGTGGTATTCACGTTACTTTGGATGTAAAGTGAGTTTCATACTGAATAGGCACTTTACACTTTAGTTTACTGTGCCACATATTTCATGGAACCACCAGCGCAATATTGGAAACAGTTTTGAAGTTTGATTCATAAAAATAAATGACACTAAATTGTAACGAAAATTATAGCAAAGTTAGTGATTTAGATTCGATAAGTATTTACTTTAGGAAATGTGTTCTCGCATACCCGTGTAAAAACAGAATTTAGCCGAATCACCGCCGAAGCACCGCTGCACGGCATTTTAATCGTCGAAGCACCGCCGCACTATGACTGTGACGATTTGAATTTTTTTATGGTCGCCGAAGCACCGCCGCACCATAGCCGCGACTGCTTACGTAAAAGTGGGTTCGCTGCTCTACCGCCGAAACACCGCTGCACGGCATTTTAATCGCCGAAGCACCGCCGCACCATAGCCGCGACTGTTTAATAAGAGTGGGTTCGCTGCATTACGGCAGTGACATATCATTCTCATATACATACATACATATGTGTGTGTGTGAATGTAAACGTTTTTCACGTCCAGTGTTTATTAAATGTATAAACGTAAAAAATTCGAAACGTTCGGCTATGCTTCGGCTGTGGTGCGGCGGTGCTGGGAGATTTCTTTCGAAGCGTGCGGCGGAATTTTCCGCCAAATGGCGGTGGTGCGGCGGTGGTTCAGCGTTGTGGTGCGGACACCGTGCAGCGGTGGTTCGGCGATAGACTTGAAATTATTATTTTTATCAAAAAATTATAATTTCATTTTTACTCGGGTATTGCAATTTAGGATACTTTTGTAAAGTACATACAAAGGCCGATATATCATAATATGAACTATTAAATAACGATGAACAACTAAAATATGCACAAAAGCCAGACAACAAGACATTTTTAAAAGCCCAACGACATAGCCAAGTCATAGTTAGTTTGAATAATACATGTCGCAATTTAGAAGGGCCACTCGTAAAATGGCGATCGCGTGACTTCGAATAATCAGGGATGGTAAACTTGGCGAAAAGCGAAGGAAATTGCCCTGAACAAGGTCGGTTCAAGAAATATTTAGAACCGAATTCATTTAAATTTCATTTGATTATATTACGTTCTATATAATATTCTATATCATATTTAAAAGAAAATAACTGACTTTTTCATAAGTGCGTTGAAAAAAAAAAGTCTATTTGAAGAGAAAAAAAAGGTGCATTGGGATGGAAATTTGAAAAAAGTATTTCATACTAAACGCAATTCATTCTCTATTTATATTGCAATTTTCAAGACTTGAATTTGCTTCTCTTATATTTTATAAGATATGATACCACAAGAGCCCTTTTTTTATTGCTTGGATGGGTTGCTCACAGCTCACCTGGTGTTAAGTGGTTACTGGAGCCCATAGACATCTACAACGTAAATGCACCACCCACCTTGAGATATAAGTTCTATGGTCTCAAGTATAGTTAAAACGGCTGCCCCACCCTTCAAACCGAAACGCGTTACTGCTTCACGACAGAAATAGGCAGGGTGGTGGTACCTACCCGTGCGGACTCACAAGAGGCTATGTCGTTGTTCTTTGGGTGACTTCATAGGTCACCGCAGAAGAATTAAATGACCGATATAGTCTGAAGAATTGCGACGCTGGTAGCAGTATACTTTGAGAACAAATAACTGTTGGGGTTAACCATTCTTCTTTTGAAGATTGCAGGAATACGCTGGATATGTGGAGTGCAAAATTGGTCGTTGTGACGATCTGTGGGGAATCCCTATGTAGCCTAAGCCTAGAAAGTGGACATATTTCGGTTGATGCCAGTATTCTATAACATTAATAACTCAATGAAAGAAAACGATTGTCACGGCTCTATCTTCAATTGTTTCATTTGGAAATTAGCTCAACTTTTGGATACTACTTTTGTTTAGAACTAGAAGTTGCTATTTGAAATTTCCCACAATTAAAAATACAAACAAAAAGAATGGATGGGATTGGAAGACATTTATAGTTTTCAGTCAATTTTAGAAATTCTCAGTTTTTTTGAGATTGTACAATAGAGAAAAATATTGGTTTGCTTTCAGCATCATGACATTATTTACCATTACATTCAAGCGGGATTTGAATGTAAGTATTTACGGTAAGCACTGGTTCAACTGTATTTCTAGCATCATCAATATTACTTGCCCACAAATTAGCTGTAAAATTAATCTGAGTTTCAAGCTTCTGTCAGATATGAGCAATTCCAATGAAATCAACCACTTTACTCAAAGAAGAGTTCCGACCCTATTTTTTCCTCAGAACTTAAAATATTCAGTCGGTTAAATATAAATTAAAGAATAATATGTCGAGCTGAATAATAATTATGTGAACGTGCAAATGTGCTCTCTAAGGGTGTTCATGTTGACTTTTTTCCCCTTCTGAATTGTTGATATTTGATATAATGCGTTAATTATTCATGATAAATATATATCTATATATTAATACGTGAAGCAAAAACTTTGTACCCCTTTTTACGAAAATTGCGTGGACGGAGGAGTATGAAATTTCCCACACTTATAGAGAATATAGAGGAGTGCAGAATATTAATATGTTACTTTGAAATTATGCATAAAAAATACATTAAATCGATAAATAAAACATTACACACACTACCATGTATTTGACATACACACGCATGCAGACTTCGTTTATTGTCATACTTTTCTTATTGCTTTTAGTCTGTGATCAAATTGAGAATAGATTAAATATTGTTTGTCTTTATTAATATTTGTCTAATGCGTAATCTTGGCGAAATCTGTGATTATAGAAGAATAATAGTCTATGACAATAGAGTCATAACAGTGTACAAACTTATAATTTAAATTAATTATAGTCGAATTTCAACTACCGGGGGACCATTAGTTATAGTAATTCAGTATCGAAACGAGTATTCTACTAATTTTCGTCAATCCGAAAGAGGAATATATTATGCAATTCTTAGCAACATACAATACAATAATACACAATAAAGAAATATAAACTATTTTTACTTGTTATAGTCTTCAGTCGTCGTAGCCTAAAGCACGTCTGGTGCAATGCACCGGTGATCGAATCCCGCAGGCGGGTACCAATTTTTCTAATGAAATACGTACTCAACAAATGTTCACGATTGACTTCCACGGTGAAGGAATAACATCGTCTAATAAAAATCAAACCCGCAAAATTATAATTTACGTAATCACTGGTGGTAGGACCTCTTAGGAGTCCGCACGGGTAGGTATCACCACCCCGCCTATCTCCGCCGTGAAGCAGTAATGCGTTTCGGTTCGAAGGGTGGGGAAGCCGTTGTAACTATACTGAGACCTTAGAACTTATATCTCGAGGTGGGCGGCGCATTTACGTTGTAGATGTCTATGGGCTCCAGTAACCACTTAACACCAGGTGAGCTGTGAGCTCGTCCATCCATCTAAGCAATAAAAATAAAAAAAAGATCAGGTGGGCCGTGAGCTCGTCCACCCATTCAAACAATTAAAAAAAATTAGTGATAGCATAGTGAAGAAGCAAACGCGGGATTAAACCGTAAAATTTGTTTGATTAATTACGTAAACGACTCACTAAAACCGAACAAAGTCCATTCCCGATCTTATGGACCGAATGGAAAGCAGTCAGTATCGCCCAATACACATCATTTCGGATCCTTCCGATACACTAACGGTGCTTTTAGGCACCACAAGTATCGGTCACCGTCCTCGTCGAGCCCGTCGCTTATGACGAAGATCTCGACGAGTGAACTTAACCCATACAGCCCACTGAGTTTCTCGCCGGATCTTCTCAGTGGGTCGCGTTTCCGATCCGGTGGTAGATTCTGCGAAGCACGGCTCTTGCTAGGGTTTCTGTTAGCAACGTCGTCAGGCTTGAGCCCCGTGAGCTCACCTACACGTCAAGGAGAAGCTGAAATAGCATCTCAAGGCTATCAGCATAGGTAGGAAAAAATAAAAAATAAATGTGTGCGTGTACTAGTGTACACACGTAAGAAGTGAAACTTCTTTATGGCCTTATTTTTCGAAAAATGATCTACATGCAACTTTCTAGAAATTGGTTAAATAAAGTTAAATTAGATAAAGTTTAAACAAAAGGATTTTATTATCATAGACATGAATACAAAAAAGTTAAATTAGATAAAGTTTAAACAAAAGGATTTTATTATCATAGACATGAATACAAAAAAGATGGCGCGTAACGGAAAAATGTGACGCGTAACCGAAAAATGTGACGGTAAATTTTTTTCCAACGCCGATAAGGAAGTTTCACTTCAAAAATAAAATTATAAAATTTACTATAGTGTCATATTGTAACAAATATTTTCTTCGCGAGTCCTTAATAGACATATATTAAACAAAATTAACGGTTTTTATCATTGTTATTCTTAATTCTGAAATTTCGAATAGTTTGTAATTTTCGTGGTCACGATGAATGAGTAAAGTATTATTTGTCGAAATTGGAGTATTATGCTACCTGAATTATTATAATGACAATAAAAAACACGACTTAATAAAGGAGTTTTAATGTCACTTGATTTTATTAACAACTATTAAATGTAATATACTAAAGGATTGCGACTTGCAAATGCTTGTTTTCAGTTATCAATGCTCTTCATTTCACGTATACGATGAAACAATGTAACTAGAATAGAATACAATATAGTTCTATCCAAATTTTCTTGTTTCTACTTACTGAAGCCCGATTTGAAAATGATAATCAAACTGTGGGTGAAGACTCTACTCCATATGGCTCTTCTAATACTAGCGCATCGTGACCGGAATATTTCATCTTGTTTTCTGGTAGTTGGATTTAAATCTTAAATTGGGTGCGACTTTTATTTGCTATGCACATTTTGGAGCGGAAGAACCAAAAACGAGATTGTGTTGTTTTATATTATTATATCCGGGCTATGACCAATTAAAGTTAATACTTAACATTTTGGGTATTGGGCGACGCAGTATAAATTTTCAATCTAATTTCACAAAATCAACCACTACTACTCCAAAATATAATAGACTAGCTGACCCGACAGACTTCATAGTGCCTCAATCGATAAAAAGACCTGAACTTTTGTATAAAATCAACTTAAAAGAAACAAAAGGAATCCGTCCGACGGGGGGGACATCAAAGGAAAAACAAAATTGTTATTTTCATTTAATTCTGAGCATTTTCATATTTATTTACCTTTTAAACCTTCTATGGACTTCCACAAATAATTCAAGACCAAAATTAGCCAAATCGGTCCAGCCGCTCTCGAGTTTTAGCGAGACTAACGAACAGCAATTCATTTTTATATGTATAGATAACTTAAAGAGAAAATATTTTGCTGGCTTTTTCCAAAGATTACATTTTTTAAAGTCGGTTTACACCGAAACAAACCAGACAATACAGTAATCAAAGTCATTTGGTGGTTAGAAATAATATTATCCTTTAGTGGAAAATCTACTGCATTGCTTG